AAAGTTTTTTATAAAAATAGAAAGGAACACCCAGAATTTTATTTATTTTAATTCTTTTTAAATAATAACGCCTTTTATTATTTATATTTTAAATAAAAGAATTTTTTTAAATATGGTATCTGAATTATGGAAATATTTTACAAGAGACAATGATAATTTTGGAAAATGAGTTATCTGCAGAATTCTAATTTCAAGGGGAAGAATAATGAAAAATTCATTTAATACTACCAATACTTTTTTAAATTATTGTAGAAATAAAAAAATTAAATTAAATGCATAATTCGGTTTTAATTACATTTGGTCCAAAGAGGGGTAGTAAAAAATCCATATAAATAACGGATAGGGTTTGAATCAATATCGGATGATATCGGATCGGTGAAAAATATGTGGATCGGCACAGCCTTAGTTTTAATTTATTCTGTATAAACAAACAAAGTCAAAATCGGCGATTAATCTGGACCGATGCACTAGTACCGGACCCTGGTCTTTTAAAAAAGGTCGATCCAGACTGTTATCCCAGACCGGTCTTTTTATATTTTTTGGTATTTTAAAAATATTTTCGTTTTTACCTAATTCAATTTTTATATTGGGAGGGCCTATAAGTAAAATGCTTTTTGAAAAACTTATAATTTTCATATTACAAAATAAAAATGAGCTAAAATAACTCCTCTAGAAGAATAACATAAAATAAAATATACAAAAAAAAATTATATTAATTGATTAATGAAGCAAATTTAAATATTAATAAAAGAACCGGTCCGGAACGTAAAAAATAAGACTGATCCGGATTGTGGACCTCAAAAAGATAGGTCTGTCAATCGGCCCAGATTTTACAATGCGAACATGCAGTAAATTATGTGCAAAATGAAATCTTCTTTAAATGTATTTAGATTATGTATAAGTATTTTACAATTTTGTAAAAATAAATATTAATTTTCAGGTAAAAAGTTCCATGTTTAATTTCAAGGGTTGGGAAAATAGGATCAATTTTATGCACGGCCTTATTTTTTTAAAAAAAAGGAATGGCATTCGTTACCTTTTTAAAAGTAACTAGTAAGTAATTTCATTTTTTAGAGTAACTAAAATGTAAAACGTTACTCGTTATTTAAATATGGAATTTTTTTTTTATTATATATTGTATTTATTTAAATATTAAATAATTTAAGCCGTTTAATTCAGATCAATCACTCAGAATTTGATTAATGTTAAACGGGTCAAAAGAACCAAGAGTAAGACCCATTTTTAATAATACACAGATGGAGTTATGCAATCGTTTCCAATCTAGTAAAAATACCCCAGAGCACACAACCACTGTTGTTTGATAATTATATAAAAGTATATATATACAAAAGAATTACAAATAAAATTCATTATTGTTTTTAAACTTTAATCGATATAATATTTGGCGACGAAGTAAAAAAAGTCGCGGTCTTTGGTCAAGTTATATATTATATAGAGTATATTTTTTTTTCTGTTTATAAAAAAATAATAATAATAGATTTGTTAAGAAATTATGGATAAAATTATATTACAGGAATTTAAAAACGATGAATGTTCTATTGACGACTATATAGACTACATAAAATACATACTGAATGTTAAAAATATTCCTCAAACTGAAGTCACTTTGAAAAAATTATTTATAGCTTATGGAGGAATAAATATTATATGATATAAAAAAATTACTCTTCCCAAGAAAAATTGATGATGTAATATGGGCAGATTATATACAAAATTGCAAAACAACTTTATAAAGATGAAAGAACTGTTCTGACATCTAGAATTGATTTCATCAGATTAAGTCGCGGACCTACAGAATCCGTTTTGAGTATTTAAAAACTATAAGGAGCTAGCCCGAAGATGCGAATTTGAATATAATGTAGAACTAAGAATTCGCGATTAATTAATCGCTGGACTAACAACTAGATAAAGAACTACGTTTATGATACCCAGACATTAAAGACGAAGACCAACCGTTAATCTTAAACAAAGTTGTAGAATTGGCCTTAACGACGAAATAAATAATACAATTAAAATGGTTTATAAAATCAAAGAGACGGCCAAATATAATGATAATAATAATAAACGATTAAATCAAAATGATAATAATAATCGGCAGTATAATGATAATCGGCAATATCAAAATGATAATGGTTATAATAACTACCACACAAATAATAATAATCCGTGTTATTTTTGTAATCGTTTTCATGCAATTCGAAATTGTCCAGCATATGGAAAAAGGTGCAACAAATGTAAGAAACCACACCACTTTGCCGTGTGTTGTAAAACTAGAGGAAATATTTATGGTACAAATTATAACAATAGCGACGACGATTCAGATTTCTCGATAAGAAAAGTCTACAAATATGGACAGCACAATTACGGTATTGTTAAACAATCACGAAATTAAAATGGAATATGATACAGGTTCAGCAGTAACCATCATTAATGCAACAATATGGAATAAAATTGGGAGGCCAAAACTTAGAATGGCTAGAGCTCCAACTACATATGAAAATAATAGAATAAAAATTATGGGCGAAGCTTATGTAAAAGTGCAATTAGATGATAAAATAAAATGGCTTCTGCTATTAGTTACAAAAACAAATGATGCAGCACTATTTGGATTTCCATGGATTATAGAATTTGATCTATCGTTGCCAACAAATATAAAAGTAAATAGGATCAGCAATAAATAAAATAATAATGAAATATGATGAATTGGGAGGCCAAAACTTAGAATGGCTAGAGCTCCAACTACATATGGAAATAATAGAATAAAAATTATGGGCGAAGCTTATGTAAAAGTGCAATTAGATGATAAAATAAAATGGCTTCCGCTATTAGTTATAAAACAAATGATGAAGCACTATTTGGATTTCCATGGATTATAGAATTTGATCTATCGTTGCCAACAAATGTAAAAGTAAATAGGATCAGCAATAAATAAAATAATAATGAAAACATGAAATATGATTACGATATCATGTACAAGAATGGCGCTAATAATATAATTGCAAATGCTTTATCGCGAAATTAAATAGAGAAAAATAATGATAGAATAACAAGCGAAAATAACAGTGAATTATTTAAGAAATCTTACTTATGACACATTAACTCTAACTAGAAAAGAACTTAGAGATGAAACCGCAAAATCCAGTTTTAAGAAGAGTAAAAATATTAATAAATGATACAAATATACAAAATCAAGCACCAGAATTACAAGCTTTTAGAACAAGAATAGATGAAATAGAAAATGACATTTCGAGACATTATATATGGTGGGAACAATTAGATAAGGATGTCGAAAAAGTTAACAACTGTAGTGGATGTCAAAAACAATGCAGAGATATACCAGGGGTTGCCGTATACCAGGGGAATCCGCCATCACAATCCTGGAAAAGAGAAGAAGAAAAAGAAAAAAAACGTACAAAACTGTACTAAAACATATCGACCAACTACGAATAAAGGAAGAACCAGTTGAACCCAAATCAATAAAAACAAATGACATTATAAAGTTAGGAGATGATAAAAGATTAGAAACAAATAGATGAACTTGAACTTGGTAAACAAAAAGATTGATAGAAGATCTTAACTTGGTGGGAAGTAAGATATATGTTATATCTTACTTAATATCTTATATATTTTAAAAGGTTATAATTTGAATATTATATTTGTAATAGAATATTATAACTTTCCTACATTTAATATTATATTATCGAGGTTAAACAAATTGCATATTATTAGAAGTTAAATTTGATAATTATATAAAAGTATATATATATAAAAGAATTACAAATAAAATTCATTATTGTTTTTAAACTTTAATCGATATAATAACCACCTAGTTAGTTTTAAAAAAAACCAAATCCATACTGAATTCGAACCCATGGCATATGTAAGTATTATGCGCATTCACCGACTAGGCCACAGACGCTTTTCGAAATCTATAATTTTAATATTTATACCATGTGATAGTGGCGATTAAACAAAAAAATGTTAAATGCAGATTTGTTAGACGATACCTTTGGCATTATTTAGCATAAGCCCCAAAGTTCTTCATTTTTATTTTATTTATTATACTTTTTTGTTGAATTTTATAAACAGAGCGAAAACTGTGTTGAGCACGCTTATAATCAAAATTTTAAAAATCAATAAAAAAATAATTATAAAACGAACTTATCTTATGGGGGAAGGAGGGGGGGGGCAAAATTTTATTTGTGGACAATCATTATTGTATTTATTTTTTAAGGGGTGGGGGAGGTTTTTTTTGTAAGCCATTAACAAATTTGGACGCCAAACTTGAGGGCCGGAAAGTCCCCTTCCTCATGACTATTGAGCTGCTTATCTTACTAAGTTTAGTCTTGAATAGACCCATCGGCATTTAATTTTTTGATAGATTTTTTATATAGTATAGAAATTTTAAGTATTGTAATAAAACACTTTTTGGTTTGGAAAGGCTTCGTTGAAAAATAAATTTGAATTTAAACCTATATTACTAGCAGAGATACTAATACCAATGCCAATCAACATCGTTGAAGAAGCCTATAGCTAAAATCGCGAAGATTACTTAATAAAAAAATATCTTATATGTTAAAATCCAACCTAAGATTATATAAATCTAATTTTATTTGTTATTTAATAAAAAAAAAAAGTTAAAATTATTTTATCAATTCTTTATAAAAAAAATTCCGCCAGCTGGCTTTTGAACCGAAATTAATGATATAAAATTAATATATATCGTTATATAACGATAGAAATAATAAATTTAGTGTCATTTTAATATTTCTTTACAATAATAAATTGTCTTGGTTTAAACTAATCAATGGGTAAAAGATTAAGGTATCGCATCTCTGATTCCTAGTGTAATTTTAAGGATTATTTTAACCTAAAATAGCATATTCTTAATGAGGGCAGTGGTTGAAAATAATTAGCAGGTGGACCCGCAAAAAACTGGAATATTTTTAATCTTTAGTGTAGCCATTTATATTATATACCAAGCGGTACCAGAGGAGCATCGGCTACTTTTCGAGTGGCCTTTTTGAAGGTACTTTCGCTGGCAAATTCCTCGTACTCTTGCAAAGTTGGTTTGTTCGGTAAAGAGCCCAGTTTGTGTCCAGGAAAGCGAGTAGGATGGTTGGGTAATTTGTGAAGTTGGAACCCGAGGGGCTTGGCCGTTTCCTCTGGAGTGCGAGGCTCCGTCATAAACTGCGGTATTATGCCGTGGGCGTGGTGAGTTGGTTTATCATCTTCCATAACTAGAGTTGGTGTCTCATCCTTCGGGCTATGACCGGTAAACGACATTCGGACTATGTATGTATAATGATAAGTAAGGGGATTAGATAGGCGCGATAAGGGAGTGTGTGGCTAGATTTGAAATCGTATGAAATGTAAATAAAATTAGATAAAAAATTATAATTTAAAGGTTAATGATGTGATTATTTTAAAATATCTAATTTATCATCAGGTTAAGGTTAGAAATTGTTCAAACCAGGTCAAAATTTTATAGGACTGTGAACTTCTAAAGTAAAGGGCTGCCAAATAATACAAATACAACTAGAGATGCACAGCGCGGAACTTGGAATCGAACATTATTTTAAGAATCGGACAAGTATTTGAATATGCCGATTTCCTATATTATATTCCTAATAATATAATTGATAAAAAGTATTTACGTGGTGAGAAAAACGTGAAAAAAAATACGCGTTGTAAAGTTCATTCGACTTCCAATTTAATGGAGCTCAGGAATTTGTTTAAATTAAACAAGAAAGTGGGTATCACCTGAATCTTAATATAGTCTAATAAATGATATCGATGATAATCAGAAAAACACGAGTTGTTAAATATCTAAGTATGTAATGCTGTTTACATTCTCATAAAAGGTATCTTATCAGAATTTTTAGTTGTATCTGTATAAATTACTTGATACAATTTTATTTGACATTTTTATTATATTAAAATATTTAATCCTCTTTTTTAAAATTATTAAATATCTGACTGAATTTATTTTATACAGTTAAAATAAACAAGACAAATTTTATTTTACATAATGGATGACCAGAAAAATAACCAAAGATTTAATATTAGATTTATTTTCAGCATCAGGATATGGCTACAAATTTTGATACCCACTAATTTTTTAAGAGTGTAAGGATTTTACCAATTTAAAGATCTCAATATAAAGCATAATTCATAAAGTATAACCAATACCTGGCTTTCAGTGGAAAGGCTTTTTAGGCTAAGGCCACATCAGAGGTTATAGCTTCTAATAGCATTGTGTTAAAGGATAACAAGTCAAAAAATCGAGAGTTGAAAAATATCGTTTTTTCAAATATGGATATTTTAAGCGTTTTCTTGGTATAGATATTATCGGTCCATACCAAGTTTGTATCACTGGTATAGGTTTTATCGATATTGGATAAAAAACGGTATCGGAGCATCTCTGATACTATATTTATATCTGATTTCTAATTCTTTCTATTAGTTGTATAATGGCCATTTCGTGCATTTTGAAAAAATTAAAAAGAGTTATGTTAAAATTTTCACCAGGGTTGAAAATAGTTGGATAAAAAATGTTTAAGGGAAATATATGTTTCATTTCCAGGGAAAATGCAACGATCTGAATTTCCAAAACTTAAATCACTATTTTAATATTTCAAACAAAAGGTTTCAAACCGGTTCGGTTCGCTTTTTATGAAATATAAGTTACGATGTTTACTCCCGCTCCTTAATTTTAATTATGCATATAAAAACTCAATAATTAGTAAGGCTGTGCAGATCAACAACATTTTCACCTATCCGATCTTACTACAAAGCGATTTTTATTTCACATTTATCTTAAAACCAATGTCATAAAATCAATATTTTCTATTCAAAAAATAGCCAAATAACTTCCATGAAAGTTAAAGTGTATTTTTTATCAAAATCATCTCATTTAAACAAAATTGGTGAATCAAGATTTTAGCTAAAATATTATTACTTATGTCTCGAAATTTCGCTAATAAATGTTCAAACTTATTTAGCACAATGAATAATCTTAGTGTTTGGATAACCCCTCATTCACAGTTGGAGCAAATTAGCGGCGAAGTAAACAAAATATGCTGTATCTTTATATTCTTTGCCACGAATTCGCACTAATTATAAATGAAGTTAATTTATTTTGGCTAAAATCTTGAGTTATATATTTTTTTAATCGGCTAAATCGAGCCATCAAACAACACTAGCTTTATTATTATGTTCCATTTGAATTTCAAATTAATGACTGTAAAATGTGGGCTATTAAAACTCAAATTAATTAAAATAACAATGAAATATTATATCATCATTTTTAAATAATTTTTTTTAAATTTCGCATATGTTATGTTATCCTACTCCAAGTAAAATTAAATTGAAAACAATATTTTTTTTATGCATTATTTCATTCCTTCAAAGTTCGTTTTCTTTTCATTAGAATCTGACTTTAACATGAAGTTTAATCAATTAATGGATAAGAGATAAATTTTAATCCGCATTCTCTCTATACCTATATAATAGTATAGTTAGTACCAGGGTTGGATATTTGGCCGGTCAAATACGACTAAGCCAATTTACCGATATTTGAAAATTCAATTAAATGTTTTTATGACAGTACTCACTTTATAACGACACTATCGGCGGTTGGAGCATGTTTTAAAAATCTTCAGCGGCCGGTGGAGAGCCACTTTTTAGCCGCCGTCAAGATAGGCGGCGTGCATCAAGATTAACTTTTTATAATTAAATTCATAATGATTTTTTTTAAGAGAAGATAAATTAAATAAAATTAAAAATAAAATACACTAAGATTATTTATTTTTACATCTTAATTGAAAAGGAAATTTATAAATTCAAACTCAATTTTGTAATTTATAAGTTATCATATATAAAAATTATTTAATAAGAATGATCTTGAATTCAACGTCAACCCAGCGTGAAGAAAACCTTTTTAGTTGGTGTGCCAGTTGCCGGATAAAGAATTTTTCTGGCTAGCGTGGCAAGATTCTGAAGTTTGCTCTTTTCTCTCAAAAATTTATACTATACTGTGAATGGTGCTTTCCGTGAAAATATGGCATTGTTTTCAAAGTACCTAAAGTGAGTGGTATCCTAATTAGTGCTTGTTGTAGAATGTGTATTTGCAAACTTTGTCAAATAATTTGTATAAGATATATCCTCTTGGATTTTTAAATTTACTAATCTAATATCATACTCAAGTCTAATATATTAATTTTTAATAAATTCCGACTATGTGCAATTTCACTTTATTAAATATTTTTTTGACCCAATTTTTAATTTTTGCAATCTTGGATCTAGAAAAAAAAACCAACATCTAGATAATTTTTGAAATATATAGGTAAATTAAAATACTTACAATATTATCTGTGGATCGCAAACAGGAAATCATATCACAAGGTTTTTGAACAATTTTCTTAATCAGTGGCGTAGGCATTGGGGGGGGGGGTGTTTGGGGGTTCAAATCTTCCCATAAAAAATGAAAAAAAAATTATTTTTTTTTTAAAATTTTATTTTTAAAATTTTTAAATTAAAATTTAATAAATTCTTAATAAACGCTTGATTCTTATGTTTTAAATTTATTATAAATAATAATAGATATACACATTTGATTATTTTTATATTTATTTTTGGTTTGCAGCTATTTCGCACCACCCAAAAAAGGGAGTTATTTATTCAAACGTATCATGATATTGACTCAAAAAATCAAAAAAAAAAACTAAAAAGATTTGGTCCGACCAGATTCATCGACAAGAGTCGGTAAAACTCTTTATTGAACTATATGATTTTGTCTTTGCAGCACTAGAATTTTATATATCAAGCAAGGAAAAAGATGCCGAAAATCTTTTGCAGGCTATTATTAAGCCACAGTTTTTAATTTCAATTCAATGTGTATATTTTTTATTTAATTATACATATGATTTTAGCAAAATGCTACAAAAAATTGATTTGGATTTAAGGGAGATTATGAATAGAGCAAAGGATATTGTTGAAATAATAACAAATATCAGAGAGAATGTGGATGAAAAATTTCATGAAATATATGAAAAAATAAAGGAGATTGCTAATATGTTTGGAATTGAAATATTTAAACCTAGAGTAGTCTCTAGACAATCCAATCGATCATATATTGATGCATTTACGATTGAGGATTTTTATAAAATAAACATTTTTATTCCCCTTATTGATTCATTTTTATTTCAATTAAAAGAAAGATTTATTAGTCATAATTTTATTTTCTTTTGCCGGTTGAGTCTAAACTGTTGATTACACTTGAAACACGAGAGGATATTAAAAAATCTCAGAGTTTTATACTGATGATTTAGTAGGTTCATATGATAAGTTACTTTGTGATGTTGAATTTTTGTATAAAAATCTACAGAATAGGGTATTCTTTGAGACCAAAAAATGCTCTGCAGGCCCTTTCCATGTGTAATTGCATTTTAGATTCCCTGCCTAATATCAAAACATTATTAATTATTTTAGCTACCTTGCCAATTAGTACCTGCACTAATGAAAGGTCTTTTTCAACTTTAAAAAGGTTAATAACCTATTTAAGAAACACAACCGGTGAAAAACGTTTAAATGGATTAGCCCTATTGAATATTTATAAGGAGATTATTTTAGATAAAAATTTGATTCTAGATGAATTAGCAAAATCTCAGAGAAAAGTAGACCTCTCTTTTTAAATTCAAATCAAAAAATAGCAATAAAATTTTATTAGTTTTAATATATAATCAATTTTTTTGTAAAAAAAGTATTATATATAAGATAATATCATCATATTTTTTTAAATACCATTATTTGCATAAGAATTACACATATTTTATATAATTGTAAAAAATTACTTTTTTTAAATAGAGACTTTATACATTATAATTTTTAATATTAAAATCTGTATTATATAAAATATCAACATTTTGAAAATATTTTAATTAATAAAAATATACACATGATTAAATAAAGGAATGTAAAATATATAATAAAATACCCTAAAATTTTGTTATATGAAAATATAAAACAATTTAAACAAATCCAAAAATATAAGCAATAAAGTGTTCAAAAAAAGGGAAGTTTGGGGGGGGGGGTGAAGACCCCCCCCCATGATAAAATCCTGGCTACGCCACTGTTCTTAATAAGTAAATAACCTAGCTACCATTATTATTTATTATTAAATCGTCTCTATTTCACGTTTGAAAAGTAATGTTATGTTTAATGTATATCCTTTTGTGAAGATAAAAATTAAACTGTTTCTTTAAATTTTGAAAGAAAAATTAATATTCCTCTATGAGATCCAAATCATAGTTTGAAGGTTAGAGATAGGGTTGACCAATAAAAATTAATTTGATTTAAATCAATATTATTAATAAGATACTTAATATAAGGAAAGATAAAGATTTAGATTATTTTAGAATTAAATAATTATATAAATTTTCTAAATATTAGTAATATCATTACTTCTTAGATAAAAATAATACTGAATTTATTTTGTATTTCATTGTTTCAATATAATTCTAATCTCAAAATAAATGAGAAATTATTTAATATTGAAAAAAAAAATTAGTTTATTAAATTCATAGCTAGGAACCCTCTTTCTAAAAAAGAGTACTGGTTCAGTGAAAAATCTCTGAACTTTGTTCAGGTTCAGGATTTGCTGTCCATTAAAATAAAGATAGTAAAAATGCAGAAACATAAGTTTTAGAATTTATTTTATATTTCGCTTTTGCCATAAAAATAATTTTATCATTATAATTATACAAAACAATTTAAAAAATAATATTCTATTTGTTTTTAAAAATTTTATAAGAGAATTATCATATCTTCCAAAATCAAAACTTTTCCTACATTCCTAAGTTTGGAATATACCCCATATGATTACAATACTCTACTGAAGCTGTTGATTATTTTACTATGAATTAAATGGTTTTGCTAACCATCATTCATTTTTTATTATTTCATCTGAAACCAGAATTTTATTAAATGAGTCAGATGTAGCTTGGAGTTTTACCATGATTGATAGATAAGAGATTAATTAAAGATATAAAATTAGCTATGTTCCACAGCCACTTCAGTTTGATTGTTTGTTAGATTTAAACATAATTGAGGGTTAGATGATAAGATAAGAAATGTATGTGAAGACATTATATTAATATCAATTTTCAGTATGGTGGGTTATAAAAACAACTATTTAATAATAATTAAATAATAAACTAATCTAATTTATAAATTTTTTTAAAATTTTGTCAAATAACCAGGCATTTTAAAAATGATTAGATTTCTTATTTGATTTGTGTAACATTTTGTTATAAACAATTGATTTATTCTCAGAAAATTAAACCATATTTATCATAATATACCTTAAAAACTTCTTTTTTTTTTAATGTGAAATTTTTTTATTAAAAAGTTTCAAATATACATATTTATAATTTGAATAAAATAAATGTATACAATTTACAATAAAAGGATAAGCTATATAAAAATAAAAAAAATCTATATTAGTTATTTAAAAAAAAGGTAATAAAATACTGTAATGTAATATAAAAAAAAGAGTAAGAATAAGGTGCATATGGCACCATCTAGTTTCTATCAGAAAAAGGGAGGAGAGGGAGAATTTTAAAAATTTTAAACAATTGCCACAAACTAATAATCAAGATTATTTAAAATTAAGGGTATTTACGAATATTTTAAATTTGGCTATAGCATCAGGACACTCCATTGGGAAATAACAGTATCTAATTAAAAATAATAAAACTACCATTATTTTATTAGTCAAAAAATAAAATTTTAAATTCATTTAGAAGTTTTATTTAAGAATATTTATAATAGTATTCATTTAAGAAAATGAATGTATATTGAATAGTTAAATTTTTTAAAACAGTATGCATATGTTAACGGATTTTTGATTGATATTCGGTTTTACATTTGTAAAAATATTAAATTAGCTCTACTTATCAATATATATTTTTCAATATTTTACTAACCAGATTTCCTGAAGCATTAACTTTTACTTAAAAAGATTACTAAGATAAAAAAATTATGATATATGATATTTTTCAATCTAAAGTAACTTCTAATTCAATTATTAGTATTTGGTTTAAATTACAATTTTAATAAAAAAATATCACAAATTTTGCCAACAGCAGTTAGAGATAATGTTCTCCAATTCCTACCAAAACATAATTAGATTTTTATTTGGTTGGGACATTTAATTTTAATATTATCATTTTGAATGGCATTATAGTTGTTATCATTGGAATTGCTAATTTGAAAACCAGTATTAAGGTATGGATCAGTGCTGAAAATCTAGCATATCCTATGTAAAATCTATTGTATTTGGTGGCATTATATAATTACAAAGGGATCAATCATTAATATAAAATTGTAAAAAATACGAAAAACATTTTAAAAGCATAATTTTCATAAAAAGAGCTTTTTGGCATGATCAAAAATATTGGGGGGCACACAAATTAGTTATACTTATAATAGATATTTATAAAATTTTATTTTTAATATAATATTAGAAGAATTTATCTAAATGATTTTAATTATAAGTGCTTTCTATATTATACTTTTATTTAAAAAAAGTAAAATGATTATTATAAAGGTAATTACTGTCAGTGTCAGTTTGATATCTATGGATATTTGCCCATAATATTATTTTGATTGAAAAAGTAGGATTAATTATTATTTGCATTTATTTTTGCTTACTGCCTTAGATTGTAATGGGTAGTTAGTTTTATCAGTGAGATAAAATTTGCAATATAATTTAATAATTAATTGGCTAGATATACATATTTAATTGTGATGGAATAAATTAATAAAAATTAATTTAAAATAATACAAACAATGTAGATAAATTATATGGTTACCAATGATTATTTTAAATACTACCTATATACAATCTTCTGATTTTATATAATAATCATTTCTAGCATTTCAGTGTTTAAAAAAAATAAAATATTTAGTGTTTTCTTATTTTATTTTAATTTTCCAAAAATAAGAAAACACTCTAAATATCAACTTAAAATTTTAAGAGCAATAAAATTATATATATGTGGATAACATTGTTAAAAAATAAAATTTAATAAAGGAATAATTTGCATGATTTTGACTTTAGGCATAACATATCTAAAATTTAAATTTTGACAAAGATCAAAAATAATCATCATTCCAAATATCTTTATTTTAAAGATTGGAATGATCCCTATGAATTTCTAAACCAAAATAAACTATTATAAATTTGTTCCAAAATGATAACTCTTAACATTTTATGCTAATAACTTGAATGGAACTAAACCATTATGCCTAGAATTGACCCGATTATTGGTTACTTACAAGGTATGATAAATTAACAGTGGTACATTGTTAAAAATATTTTAATTGTCATCACTCATTTTATTTATGACAAAATTTCTATGTCAAGAGATAAGTAAATGTAATATATCAATCATTCAAATATTGGTATAAGCATTATGCCTTTTTTAGATTAAAAAGTAGTAGCACACATGTATCTACTCATCAATAAAAGCAATAGTTATACCTTTATGAATAATTTATTTCTTAATTAAAATGATTAATAAAATGTATAAAATATAAGTAAAATAATTTTATGTAGGTTATAAATTATTAAATTAGTTATGAATTTAAACAAATTAAAGAAATATCTTTTAAAAATTTAATTAACTTATTTATTAACAATTCAATTAATAATATCAAATTAATATGGTTAAAAATATATTGTATTAGTATTTTATCATAAAAAAATATCATTAACAGTGTCTAGCTCACTTTATATGCATAAAGTTCATATAAACTAATAAAAATTCTGTCAAAATTTTACAAAAACTTATTGAAATTCAGGATTAACTATAAAAACTTTGTATACATTAATTTATCGTAAAGCAAATTTATTAAAGCCTTAACATATTTAAAATATAAAAAATAATCTAGCTAAGTGTTGTAAGTATAATTGTATATATGACAATTTGGCAATTTACCTTTTAAAGTCTGAATGAATATACTGTGCCTAATATAAAAAGGGTTGACATGATGGGTTACGTGTGAAATCACTCAATCATTTGACACCATTGTCAATCATTTATCGTCATAATAATATAAATTTTTGATTTAAAAAAATAAAAATATCATAATTGTGGATGAAAATTATATTAATACCAATATTGACTGACGATTAATGCAGTTAAAATTGTACATACATTAAGGTCTGCCATTGGAGGCCTTTGGCCTAACTGCCATTAAATACTACATTATTTTTATAAATATATTGATATTCAGCATCAATGCATTTTTATTTCTTATTAAATAAATATTTTAAAATGTTTTATAACTAATTTGATAAAATTTATTACTAGTCAATTAAAATAATATAATAGTTTAGTAACTATACAAAATTAGTTTAATCGAAAAAAAATAAAAAAATAGCATACACGAAGAAAAAAATAAGAAAGGAAGGATAAATTTAGAAAAGCTCCTTGGAAATTAAACTATCGTTGTAACTAATATAGTTTACTCCTCTAAGCTAGGGCCAGACTATGTTAAGAATCATTCTTTAGACTACCACATAGTTTACAAATATGAGATGCTAAATCTTTGAAGAAGGATAAATAAAACATTAAACATTTAACTATATTCTTTATTCAATAAGCAAACATCTAAAGTTATTTTCCCAAATTATATTTTCTTATCATTCAATGATCAATCACAATGGAGAATCCCAAACCGCTCTATATTTTTTTTTAAATATTTTTTGTGCATCTCTTTCTACAAATAAAAAATAAGACTAAAATTTAAAAAAAAAATATATATAATTTATTTGTTTATTATTGTAAACCAAAAATAATAACATTTCCATATGCATTATTAAATTAAATTTAGTTATTTTTTATATAAAATTTTCATTTGAGTATTTTTAGATTTAAAAAAATGCTTTAAAAATTTTCAACATATTATTTATTCCAAAAAAATTATCGATAGTAGGTGTCTTTTTTGATGTGTCTAAAATTATAATAGCGTTAAAATAAAAATTATGTAGGGGATAAGTGGTAAAATGGCCATGCTTGCTGACTGGCCAGGTCAACATCCTTTAACGTTTTATCTATTTCACTAAAATTGTGTATAACCTGAAAGGATTTAAATAAGTATTTTTTTAGAATGTTTTGATAAACATCCAGATAATAATTTATAAAATATTGAGTCTGATGATAAAATGAAAATTTAATATTTATTATTTATTGTAATTTATAATATAATTCTTGAATAATATCTTATGGCCAGTTTAAACATAAAAATATTATCAAATAAACTCATCTTGCTCAAAAAAATTTTATTTTAAAAATTATAGATTGGACTATTAAATTTGTTTGATATTGCTTTCATTCCTCGTTGATGCTATTAGTCTTGTTTGATGATAAAATCTTCCGGTATATAATAAATTTATACCCTATTTTTTTTTATCGGGATTAAAATATTTTGCGAATTCAGGAAAAGAAAATACCATATCATCATCATTTTCCAGGGAAATTACTTTGACGATATGATCTGTATCAAAATTGTCTTCAATATTAATCTCTATCGTCGACATTTTAATTTATTTTGAAAACTATTATAATACAGATTTTTAAATATAAATTTCAAAATTAAATTATATTAAATACAAAGAATATGATTCTAGAATTAATTATAAATATATTTCAATAATTTTTATGTGTATTTGCTACTTTCTATACTAGGAGCGAGCTGCCTCTATACCTATATTTTTTTTTAAAGTAGCGTGCTAATGCTACCGCTACTAAAAAACACGCTTTATTCATCAAAAAATTAATTTGCTTTCTAGCCTAATAGTCCTGAAAGGCAGTGGCGTCGCTAGGAGGGCGCGCAGGGGCTCGAGCCCCCTGAAAAATTTGAATAGCCCCCTGAAGCAAAAATTTTTTTTTTAATGGTTCCTTAATATCCATTTGAACTAAAAATAAATTTTTTTGATAACCCCCTGAATGATTTCTTTATAATTCCATTAATTAATATATAGATTTAATTTTATTATTTAGAAATTAATAAGACTATTTAAATTTTTATTAAATGAATACTAATTTAATTATTAGATTAGATTATTACATATAAATTATATTTTCACTATGTCAGCTTGCAATCAAATTCCGTATTAAAAATATAATATCAATAACTCACTAAATATTAATTTAGCTTTAACAGTTGAGGTTTAATTGACTTTTATTATATTATATAACCCTAATTAAATAAATATAATCATATATTATTTGAAAATTAACATTTTTAATATTGTAATTAGCCGAGTTCGAAATGACTAATCAACTGTATATTTATTTTTAAATTTTATCATACCTATTCCTAAAAATATTTTCAAGGTCCAAATATAAGTATAAGTGATTTCTTTATAAAAAGTAAATAAATAGAGATATTGTTTATAATCCTTTATTATATACAGTTGGTTATAAAATATTAAATAAAATGGCACTTTACAGACGTATTTGACAGTTATATAATATATTACTGTTAATATTATAATAAATTTTACTAATAAATGGTTTTAATAATAAATATGGCAACCATTTGCATTCAAGTATTTAACGCCATCTATTTAGTTATAAAATATTTTAAAAATTAAATAGATTATTATTCATCCTGCAATAGATGTAATAAATTTGATATCTTTTCTTCTCTTTTTATCGTGTTTTAGGAAAGCTGTATTTTTCTTTTTCGAAAAACAGTTCCGAGTTAAATTTTTAATACAAGTATATTTTTGATATTATTACAAACTACTATTATTTTAAGATATAATATACCAAGGTGGTGCGACAATATATAAAATCTTTATTGTTTCATCATATCCTTATTTTATAGTTAGAAAATGTTTCATTTCTAATATGGCATTGCCGTGTAAATAACTCCAGACTTCAATATATTTGCATAATTATTTTTTCCAAATATTTTTAGTGTTTTTATTTTATCAATTTATTCAACATAATAAATTCTGATATAAGTTTACATCGTGAGTGTCATGGCTCAGTATCTATTATTTGTTAATTTAAGATTATTACAACAACGGCTGAGAGAATATGATTGCATATTTTAGATAAACAATAATGGTCAACTGTGTAGTCGTTTATATATCATTTAAAATGAAAGATAATCTTTTAGAAATTTAATATCTCATGATAATTTTCTCGATTACTTATCTAGCTTCCATCATGTCATTTAAAAGGAAGCTCTAACCACCATATATTTTTATGATTTGGATTGGTCGTTTATACTCTCTTCTTCAAAAATTGTTGATTTGGTATAAGCCCATAAATTTTTCCTTATTAGTTTATTCTATAAAACATTGTCTAAAATGGTAACAAAGAGTTATATTAGTTTGATAACCTTTTGTAAATGTAAGTTGCTAAGAATTATATTATTGAATTATGGGGTTTTTAAAAACCATTATCAATTGAGGCATATGTATAAATTAATTAATCTTTTTTATCACTTGTAATTCTTTAAACGCAATTTTTTTTATATAAGCAATCGAAAATACTTTATGCAGACGCGTACGCAGGAATTTGGTCTGGAGGGGGGGGGATATTAAATTTTTTTAAGAAATAATATTGTTAATTAAAAATACTAAGGATAAATTTATTATGATTAATAACTTTTCTAATACACAATTCAAAACTAATGTGAATTAAAAAAATTATATATATAAACCGGCATTAAAAAACTATAAAATAAATGAATTATAAAATATAAAGTGAATATAGCCCATGATATGAATCACTTAAATGACCCAAAATTGAAATTTGAATTTTTTGAGCTTTTAAAATATATAAAGTATAAAAAATTTAAATGTTGGAAATATAAATTAATACACAAAAAGTTTCTTAGGAAAAATTGTATTTTGTATGTTTTGAGCTAATTTTTCAATTATCAATCCTTGCTTGGCGTTAAATGTCTATAAATATTCAAAAAATCCAAATCATTCAATCTACTTTCAGATGTTGTATTTCATAGGTATGTTTTTCACAGACTTGCAGGCCCGGCCCCCTAGCCGGACTGTATTTTAATTTATTTAAATATACCCGGGCGGCCCGTAATTTTTTTTTAAAAAAACACCTGGGCTGGGTCTGAAATTTTTTTTAGAAAAAATATCCGGGCCGAGCTATATATTTTAAAACCAAATATATGAAATCGCCAATATTAGCTATAAAAATCAAAAATAAATATAATTTATTTTAAAAAAATTCGGGCCGGGCCTGAAAATCTTTTAAAAAAAACCCGGTGCGGAAAAAATTTTAAAAAAAAATAAGGGTCGTGTCCTGCAAATGGTACCTCTGAAAGGCTCTGTTATTCTTCTTAAAAAGGTGAATGTTCTCTCATTAGTTTACTAAAGAGCTGCTAATATATATATAACCATTTTAATACATTGGGAGTATAATCAAAAATGTGTTTGAAATAAAAAGCATCCATAGCATTTTTTGGGACTGTATCAACCATAGTTAATCTTTTAATCATAGTTATTCAGCTAATAAGGCATCATAAGATATTTTAACATCTTCATGATAAAAATCTAACAAATATTTATATTTCTTTTCTATCGCCATATGAAAAAGGTTGGGAAAGGGGAAATTTGTTTTATAATACTCTTCTACTGATCCTATATTAATGTTTTGACGATGAGCTTGCTTGCTGCAAGTCGAGGGGGACAAATATTAAACACGTATAGCTCTGCTTTTGACTCAACAATAACATATAAAATATGAAATTCTTCAACAACATTAGCTCTAATTTCCTTGAGTTCTAATAAAATGCTCTCCGCTATTCTCATCTTCTTAATCAAGTCAATGTTATTTTTTGAAAAGTATTACAAAAAATAGTAGTATAATTAATTAGTACATTCTAATGAGAAAAAAAATTTGGAATAAGTATTGAATCCAATAATTTTCTCGCTTCTAAGGAAATATTTCTTTCAAGCCATTGTGATATTTCAGTAAATAGCATTAATAATCGGCTCTTCTAACTCCATAATAGCTGTTACTGAGGCTGAGACTCG